TTTGTGGACAAATGAGGCCATATTTACCAGGCAAGATATTCTCTATCACAGAAATAATCATGTTTGGTTAAAAAACATGAGAATCCTCGAGCAATCCATGAACAACATTCCCAACACGGTTTTCAATGTATTAATGTATGATTAGGAATAATGGGCAATATTTTAATTGGACCTCAATTTCTATCAGCTCGCTTGAATGCGAATGGATTTCTCGCATTTTTTAACAATAAAGGTGCCTGTATGACCTTTTGGAAAACATTTCTTTGAATATGAGAATAAATTCCTGGTTTCAATTGGATGGCTGTTCTGTTCAGTATGGCAGAAGTCCTCGATAGTGGCTTAATTCATTTTCCTGGAAGATGGATCGGTCGTGCTGGACTTGTGGCTTGGCCTGCGCGTTCACCGGATTTAACACCATTAGATTTTTTTGTATGTGGTACTCTGAAGCAAAAAGTGTATGCAGAATCTGTTAATGAACTTAAATCATTAAGACGAAGAATTCGGCAAGCGTACGAAGAAATTACAGACGCACAATGTCAGTCAGCCACTTGTTCTCTCATCGATAGATGTAATGCTTGTCTCCGGACTGAAAGTCATAATTTTGAATAAAATATTTAATAATTAAATTTTGATTATTGTAAAGCAATAAAGGATAGACCTTATTTCGACATTATTCATTCTTACAGTTCCGTAACTTCAGATATAAATATCCCTTGAACGAAGCGTTTGCGAGCATACGTACAAGAGGAAAATTTTTGTTTGTTTTGAGGTTCTGAATTCATATTTCAAGCTGTAGATTGAGCTTATACTCAGAAGTCGATCAATCCAGCCTTTATTGAAAAACCGATAATCTCGGATGCTCGCAACTTGTTCACCCTAGTAAAGACACGAAGTGGTCTCGCGCTACGCGTCTACTTGACGCGAGTCTACTTAACTACGTGTCTCTTGATGATATACCTTGTGACGTGACGCTTTTTCACCGTCCGTCACAAGGGTCATGCGACCTGGCCGAAATAGCGCGGCAAATTTGTCCTGTGCCCTCCCAACGCGGAGGGCGGGCGTGCCGACGCTTATTGCGATTTTCGGGCGAAAACGCGGAGATTTCTGTCGTCGCGTTTCGAGTAGCATTTTGTTTTGTGAGTCTGTTTAAGAATTTTTAGTATCGGCGGCTGCGGTAGGTGAATTAATGTGCGACACATTCAACCATCTCGAGGAGACGACCGAGACGAAGAGGGACGACCGCGCTGGAGGGCCGAGGCCACCCAAAAGAGGGGGTAAAGCGCAGGTGACACCGTTTCATACTGTTTAATTAGCGCCCTGAGCGAAGCATGTTTAGCTGCAGCCACCTTCTTACAGGCGACTATGCACGGGAGCGATCCAGGCGGCGTATTGGGGATGGCCACCCTCGGCCGCA